GGGGGGGGGGGGGGGGGGGGGGGGGGGGGGGGGGGGGGGGGGGGGGGGGGGGGGGGGGGGGGGGATGGAGCGTATGGGTGTACTTGCGTTCGCTTGGCTCCGTTGTTTGAAGCATGATTCAAGTTGTACCCATGATCGTTAACGCTAATAATCAGCTTCAATACGCGTGGCACTTTTTTATTTACAATATAACAGGCCCTAGCGAGTGGAATTAGTGATGTCCCCACCTCTCGTGGCGCTCTTACCCCCTAGAGCCACGGCCACCGCCGCCGTCGCCGCCGCTGCTGCTGCTGCTATTTGGTCGGTGTTAATTGTTGCTGCCGTGCAGGGTCGAGGATGCTCGCAGCGCGATAGTGTTCTCGGCGTTTAGCCGGCGACGCTTCTGCGAGGAGGAGGATTGCTTGCAGGTGACAACACGCGCGCACACACAATAAAGGAAGGCATGTGGGGCACGTAGAGTCTCTCTTGGCCGAGATATCTTGTGGTATGCATACAAAAACGGTGATTGCTGTTGGTTTGGCGGGACGACTTGCATTTTCTGGTGCCAATTGGCGGCTGCTTGATCAATCGTAGTCCCCCTGCGCAAGTGTATTCGCTGGAATGTTTCTGTGCTTGGAGCGATGGTTGCGATGGGGATGATGTGCTACTACAGTCGTCCCCGCTTTAAAGACACTCTTCTTAAGGAAACTCCCCGCTATAAAGACACATTTTTTCCCCAGAACATGGTGCCCCGCAGATGTACAATAATATAGGGGGGTAGCGTTTCCACTATGCGGCCCCCCCCCCAAATTTTTGCTGGGGCAGCAAATTTGTAAGGCATTGTAACATCGACAGCGGTCTGCTGCAGCCCGCACTACTGCGTGTGGGTATGGAGAGATCCCTCCCATCTGCTGGCGGGTCGTCAGCTGCCGGCTTGAGGCCATGTGGCGAACCCACGTGCCAGCAAAAGTCTCAACTCGTGTCAGCGGTTCACCAGTGCCCGTGCGGGCGATCCATGCACGCGTTTTGTGGTCGGGGCATCGGAGAGGAAGGCTACGGACAGCAGAGAGAGTGCTCGGATTGCCAGAAGAGCAAAGGTGGAGACCAGGCTGGCAGCAGCAGCAGTCCCATGGAAGTGGTCAAGAAGATGTCCTTGCCGGAGAGTGCCAAGGACTTGGACGCTAGGTCCATGCCGCGAGTGTTGTCGGACAACTTGCTCGTCGAGAGCACCTCCGGCCTCACTGAACAAGAAGTGCGGATCGCAGTGAGCACGTGGCTTAGTGTAGAGGACGATGAAGAGGTCTTGAGGGAAGAGGTAGAACTCGAGATGGAAGAGGTAACGGAGAACATGTCAAGAGTACACGTCGAAGACGACGTGTCCAGTGAAGAGGAAGACCAGGACGGTAGGCAAGAGTCGTGCATGACATCTACGATTTCAGAGGCCGAGGTTCGCTCTCGTCTCGAGGATGTCCGCTCCTATTTGTACGCGAACGGAAGAGACGGCGAGTACAGCGAAACGGTGTACCTTCTTTCGAAGACTGTGCATTCGTTCACTCATGAAACTCAAGTCAAGCGAAGAACGAAGGAGGGGGGTGAGGTGCAGGCGACTCTTCGGGATGTGTGGGCGACGTAGTTTTTGGTGTTTGAGGACAACACACTTGGCAGCCCACATTCATTGTTTGGGATTTTTTTGCCTTTCTCGTGGAGTTAAATTTTGGCATTTTTTGTTTTGTGTTTTTGCCTCGTGTTGACCTTTGGGGAATAGCGGTGTTCTCTTTTCGGTGGGTTTGCCCGATTTTTTGTATGTTGTGGTCTGCGCTACCGACCGTTTCCTAGTGTCCCTCAGATCCCTCTAAGGGGTCGACTGGGTTTGTTTGGTCCCTATGTGGCAGGTAACTTGCGTGTATCGTATCAGAGCTAGTTCCAACAAACTGATGTGTCTCAGGTGTGTTCGCGATATCACGGGCATGATGTTCACCGTGAGGACAACGCCTTGACAATAAGAAAAGCCTACAACAACACCAGCGCACACTGCCGTACACATTACAATTGGTCGTGCTGTACTCCTTCCCGCGTTTCGGTGGTGGAAGGAAATTCAAAAATGTGTACAGTATTGGAGTACAGCAGCAGTAGTATTGCGGCCTTCAATTGACGTGTTGTCGCAGTTTTTAAGCAGCACAATTTCGTGGTCGCATTCCTGCTTCAAATGCGCGTATTTTGACACATGTTACACCTCCATTGACCCCGGGGACGGTGAATTAGTGGCCCCGGAATCCTAAAGACACTTCCCCGCGTTAAAGACACTCCAAAAAAAAACAACGCGGTGTGTCTTTAAAGCGGGGTCGACTGTACTTGTACTGTAGCGGTGCAATCGGTTTGCTGGCTGAGGTCCGAACGTATGTAGCTCCCCTCGTGTACTCAAAAGCGATCCTTCGTTTCGAAAATGATTCATTCCCTCTCCTTCCCCACTTTCCATCTCTCCTATCGCGCCGCTGCCGTCCGTGTTTCCTTTCTGTCCTTTGTGCTCCCGTCGTGTCGTCTCTCTGATGCGCATGCGGTACTGCTGTACATCGTTACTATCTTGTGACTATTTCCGGGGAACGAACGAACGAACGAACGGCCGGACTAAACAGTACGCGAATGACGTTCCCGAAACGATCGCGGACCTGAAGCCGTGTCTGGAGACCAACACGTGCGGGAGATTCGACGCGGCGAATCAGTCGGGGCAGGGCACGGCGTACGTCTACTACTGGCGAAGCATGCTGCGACAGCCGAACCAGCGAACTCTGGAGCACATCTTGTGTTTCAAGTCGCACAGGTGAAATGGGGCGGTAGGGAATGCACATTTTTTTGTGGTGTACTCTTTGCTGCTGCTGTTCTTTTTTTTTTGGCCTGTTTTCGTTTTGTTTGATGAGGGTGTTTGTTCGAGAGAGGGAACGGGTGAAAATACGGCCAACCATGAATGACTTGACGCCTACGCCGTGTAGTCACTGGGAGGACGGCATGTCTTCCCGCGACGCTTTTTTTTTTGTGTATTCACACGCGCGCCCGACTCCATTCTCACCCCAGTTGCCAAAGTGTCTCTTTGCGGACTGCGGACCGTAGACCCTCGTTAGCCCACGGGGGGGGGTTCGGAAATGCTCGTGTGGAAACAAGTGTTTCCGAGCAATGTTCGGTTGTGTTGAACGCACGCAGCCCGTGGGTCGCCTCCCTTTGTTTCAATACTACATGTCGCTGTCGCGAATGGAGAACGTTAGCCATACTCGCGCTCGTCTTGTCAACCCCCAAAAAGGTCCACGTCATTCGACAACCACACTAATGTCTAACTATGATTGGCTTATTTTTGCCAGGTTCGAGCCCTACCTCGTGGTGCGAAAGACGGCCTTGCTGCCCAAGTTCGACGAGAGATTCTTGGGCTACGGCAAGAACAAGATCCAATGGTGAGACGGGGACAGACAGGGAGACAGACAGGGAGACAGACACCGAGGGAGACAGACAGACAGACAGACAGGCAGGCAGGCAGGCAGACAGACAGACAGACAGACAGGCAGGCAGACAGACAGACAGACACACAGGCAGACAGACAGACAGGCAGACAGACAGACAGGCAGACAGACAGACAGAGAGGTTGTTCCCCCGCGTTTTGTTTCCTTTGATAACATTACATCTGTTGTTGCGTACCACGCTGGAGGGGAGGGACACCCTGAAACTCTTACCCTACCCTTTATTCTCGCGCCAGTGAAGATGGAAGGCGTGCACCGAGATAGAAATATTCTGCCTGACCCCTTCTGATCTTCAGTTTTGTACAAGTAAATAGGCAAAAGACGAGCCGTGTGGCAAGTTGGGAAAGCTGGTGCAGGCGAAGATTCATGAAATGGGCGAAAAGAGTACTTCGTATAAGCTTATCTTCTTTGTTATGTGGTGAAGGCTTGTGGCAGGGAGGGCGCTTGTTGTATGGGCGTCATTCCTTTTGACTCCTTGTCCGTCGGTCCTCGGGTGTCCTTTTTGCGAGTCGGTCTAGTCGTCGGCACACACACACACGTTACACACACACACACACAGCCCCCGTCTTGTCCACCCTGGCAATGTCAACCCAAGCACACAAGCGCCCGCCGTGCCTTGCCTACCAGTAAATCCCCCACCCTGTCACTCTGCCTGATTTGCTGCTTCCTCGTATGCATATGCATGTTACGGCGATACATTTATTTTTGTACTTTTTTTTTTCTTGTCTTCCAGGATCAACCATCTGCGATACAGCGGGTTCTCGTTTTATGTGATGCCGGTCAATTTCGTCATCCACGCACCGCATCCCAAGTCTGTCGCGAAGACTTCGTGGGAAAAGACCGGGGGCGGCAAGCAGGTGCGTGTGTGTGTGTGCATTGAAATTGCGTCGACCGCGCTAACCGGCTAACCAATGAAAAGACAAGGCGTCAAGTCTTGTAGCGGGATAGATAGCGCCACCACAGTGGTTTCTATTCAAAGGGTTTGTGTGTGTAATGGCTGTTGGCAAATCAAACAAGGGACCCCGTTTGAATGTTGATACGTTGGGGAGGAGGCGTGTCTAGGCATGGGTGGTACGCGAGTTCATACAGCAATTGTGGGGTGGGGGTGTACAAAGAAACGGCGAGAAACTTTGCGTGCGGGCGCGTGCTCGTGCTCGTGCGCTGTTTGCACGCGCCGGTGTGTGCCCCTCCTGGTAGTTAGCATCGTCAGGCTCGCGTGATCTTTGGACAAACGTGCATGAGCGTGTGTGTTCGTCTTTGCGTTGCTCGCGTCGACGGCGCTACAACCGGCTGGCCAATGAGAAGGCGCCAGTCATACGTGCCGCTAAGAACGGAAAACGCCTTCTGCGTGTGATGTTGTTTCCTGAGTTGGCATGAACCGCGGTAACTGGCTCATGTCTATTCTCTCTCTTTTCTCCCATCATTGGACTCTGTCGTCTGCCCCTCTGGCCCCTATCCTCCACTTCTACTATTATAGCTAGACGACCCAACCGGGGTCACATGGGAGGGGGGGGTTGGACCCCCTCCTGCGGTTCATGCCTGAGGTATTTTTATCGCGAGAAAGGTACAGCAATCCCTTCCCTCGCGACTTACGAAGTCGATTATGGTATACTAACAACGAGCTTTGCAGCGCATCGCTTTCATCCTAGACCAGGATTCATTTAGTGAGAAAAAAACTCACTCTGCCGGGACTCGAACCCATGACCTGGCCCTTAGCAGGCTGCGCGGCTACCCACTAGACCACCGGGGCCACCGGTGTGAGGTGATGTCAGTGTGTCTGGCTGCGGTGGACGAGACCAAGCACGTTGCGGAATCGTCGCCGCGGTTAGGGGCGTGTACGGCTGTAGGACCTCTCCCTCCAGGCCCTCACGGGGTACCACTTGTCATGCATGATGATACATACTGCCGTTTTTTTGTCGATCGAACAACGCAACCGATTTTGTTGAGGTGACGCACACGCGCGCTCGTGCGCCTTTTTCATCCCGTTATGAACGACCCTGGTGCTTTTTCCATCCGCTTGTCACGGTGGAGGCTATGGCAGTTTTGGGAAGAAAGCACACACACACACACACACCGACACCGGTATTGCTTCTGTCCTTGAAGGGGTGCACGCGGTAAGGACGAAACGACTTAGTGCACATGGCAACAAATGAAATGCCCCCCCCTTCGGCCCCTGTTCGCGCGTTTTTTTTTCAACTCCTCAAAAGGGCAAGGGCAACAAGCTCATGGACCAGACGTTTGAGACGTTCATGAATGAGCTGCGAGCAGAGAATGGGCCAGAGGAGGACACTGTCACCAGCCTTTGCCAAAAAGACGGGCCACGTACGGGGGTGAGTGGGGCGCGGCACAGTCGCCGGGGATGTGTATCTAATCCGCTTCCAAATGCTGGAGATGTGTCAGCTGTTGTGGGTGCAAGCACTGCAGTTGCTGTTGTGTGGTTCTGTTGTGGATTTACTTGTATATCGACAAGAGTTTGGATTGCCAAGCATGTAGGTCGTGCGATGTGCGCATCAATCCCCTCCGTCTGTCCGTGCCTTGTTTATTTCTTATATGCGCGGTGTTAGGTGGTTTGTGGTTTGTGGTCTGTCGTACGTGGCGAAATCCCATCCGCCCCCCCCCCCCCCCCCCCCCCCCCCCCCCCCCCCCCCCCCCCCCCC